ATTTCATTTAGAAACTTGGCACGAGAGCCATTTTCCAGTTTTATCCTGAAAATGATTTACAGGTTGGTATATTCAATAAACCATTATTATCTCAGCGTTTTCTTGCAGGTGGAACTCGCAACTCAGCAGGCAATGAAAGCTGGTTTCACTGGTGGCCTAGTAGTCGATTATCCAGAAAGTACGAAGGCGAAAAAGTGAACAATTTTTCTATTGACAAGTGACAAGATCAAAAGTATTCTATTTATTGGTATCAAAAGGGAAAGTGTTATTTCTCTTAACGGCGGTATCGATAACTAACAGTATGCTAGTAAACCCATAAGATCAGGTTCATTTAATGTAAATATGAAAAATAATAAAAATAAATATGCCTACGAATCGTGGCATATCTGCAGGTGTTCGAACAGACTTTTGTTCGGACCTGCTTAGTGATGCGGTTTTGCATCCATGCACTGCAGGTGCTCAAATACCATGGAGCCGTGGTCTGCTTAAATGGTCTCCTAAGCGACTGGAAGCATGGGAACGGTACCATTGCGCTGCTTCAATCCAGTGTCAAAAGAGAAAGTGTTATTATATTTATTGTTTCTGACTATATATTCGATTTTAATTACTATGTAGTTAACATATATTAATTTATATTTTTCACTGAATACCGCCTTATTCAAAATTTATAGGTTCAACCGTCATAACATGTTTGTTTTAGCTGTTTCGTACTCCTACCGTGGAAATCTATTCATCTGAATGCTCTCTGATCTAACATGTGTTGAATAGGGTGTCGATTGTTGCGTTATCGAACAAAATTTATCCGCTGAATTCAGATCTGCTGTCGCTATGCCCTACTGATGCTTGTAATGTCTGGGCTTCCTGGGAGTAGTTTGATAAGTGAATGAAAGTTGGCTTTTTTAACTAGCTATTAAACATATTATGGAATAACATGGCTGGGAATACAAATTGCTGTGTAGCTGTGGGATATATTACACGAGGAAACATAGGACGCCGTCACGCTAAAAAAGATTGATGATCGCGGACGAGCGCGAGCGACACTTAATGACGAAGCACCCGGGAAGAAAACAAAACCTTGTCTCCAGCAAAGTCAAGGAACAATGCAAAGACACTTCAGGGGTTGTGCACCTGAACAGGCGCGTCAAGCAGGCATTAATCATCCAGTCCTGTGAGAATGTCAACCGTTACAAAGGATACGTTCACTGGGCAGATTCGATTAGCCTTGTCGCTCCTGTCGCCCAGAAAAAATTTTGCCAGCAGCACGGGCTAAAACCTTTCCTTCTGACTCTAACATACCAACCGCTACAAACACGAAAAAATCTTTCGAAACTACCATTTTCCCATAAGTCGTAAGTCGGAGCCTGCTCAGTCATCCAATCATTTATGTTATTCGCGATGCCTGTTAGTAAATCTTGTTTTATGCTGTTTATCAGTATGTTCACCAGCATATGAATTGAATAAAACCATTAACTAAATTCGCAGTCGAACGAGGTTATAAAGCGGCGTTCACTATCGAGGAACCTAGTGAAGTAAAACATCCATGATGAAATTGCTACCTGTCTATGAGACAGATCGAGTCTGATGTGAGACTTTGAAGAATAAGCATGTAATAATTTTGATATGTGGTGTCATCCCATAAAGGAGTTTCGAATCTTGAACTGAATTTCCGCATAAACGAAATAACTTCCTTTTTTTAAAGACATGTCAGTGTTTGCATTGTTTAAAAGGATAAATCCATGTACAATTCCCCAGTCATCAATTGGGTTCTGTTTGGACAATATCCTTGAATTTCGTAGTCCAAAGCCCTATGGATACCAGCTCCGTCACTCTGTGCATGTCTGACGTCAATGAGATATTCGCTTAATTTAATCTGCAGTTATTTATTACGGTGTCGTTGCTGCGTTCTGTTTCGTACATTTAGATTTCGTTTATCCATTGATTTTGAGAACTTAAATCTGTTTTCTGAGCAGGGTCGATTAATTCGCTTATTGATCTTTTCGATCCACTTTCAGAATGTTTCTGGTCCTTTTCGCTGGTATTCGGCATTCGCTTCCAAAAGGCTATGGACTGCAGGATGAACAGAGTAGCGCTGTGCAGAGGCACATAACCAATGTTCAGAGGCTGTAAGTGTTCAAGTTGTTTTCTGCACCAAGCTTTTCCAGTGCATATATAAACTTTGTCCTTAGAGGAATCAGGAAAACTGCGCCAGGCAAAATTCGCAAGAAGTCGCGTGAGTGGATACTGAAGAAAAAAAGACGTGCTCAGATGAAGGGAAAGTATGTTCACTTGGTTTCTGGTTTCGCTAAATAGTTTTATGACCGATTTTCTAGGGATGTCAAACGTGATTCTGCCTACACGGGAAGAGTGAGAAAGGGGCATTTCTGAACGTTATCAGTTTTGTTGCTTTCCTTTCGCAACGCGACTGCTGAAATGTGTTGTTCTTTTCGTATATCTGAGATAATGAACATTAAATGCCTTTTATGAATATGCTGAGTGATTGAAATAGCCAGCCGATCGCTTCCATCTTATGAAACATGAAATATTAGACCGCGGAATGTTGTGACCATAATTGGACATTGGCACAACACGTTTCAGGTTAATTGAATGTAAATTTATTTGCTAGTATAAGAATGTTATTTTTATATAATTTTCGAGCATTTGAAACTATTTCAAATTAATATCGTTCGTGTGTTCATTCAATCTGCTGAGGTACTCCTCTGTTTCCGCTGAATGACTGTAGATGCGTTCTTGTTCCCCGGGAATGGCCAGTGTATTTTCTTTATCGCAGTAGCCTACAAAAACATCCCTAGAAACGAAACAAAAACTTCACACATGATTGTAAATGATTCCGCACAGTTGTTCTACGTGTTTAACGAGCAACGATCAAAGGAGCCCTTTGCCACACACTGAGATGATACGGCGCGAGCTGCTGCATCGCTGGCAATGGCTCATTTTTAATCTCTATCGTTGGCAACTTCCATAGTTACAAAAAAATCTCGCGACAGCCGGTCAGAAAAGAGCTTGTGTTGGTGGCGCTTTCTTATTAAGATCACCAGAACGGAGCATTCATTCGGGATCTGTGTTGTCATGTGACTGTATGAATCTTTGCGCTAGGTTGAAGTACAGCAATGTTGTAGAACTCTGCCTTTCTGAATGAACAGTCTTCTTGGGACGACTAATCCATTCAACGTTGTATACATCATTTGTTTGTGTCTATCGTAAAGGTCTTCTTGACATAAATTCATTAGCGATGGTTGGCCAGTATGTCCCTTAGTGAAACAGTCAAGGAAACGGCGCACTAGAAGTGAACTCTATTCTTTTAAATTATATTCGCTTCTAGAAACTGCTTTAATGTGGAGCACAAATGTTTTAAATACTTTAGTGACGCTGAGCTCATGGCTTTTAAACGTTATGCTCACCGTAATCTCCCTTGTATGTAGCCAGTGACAATCATTTATTCTCTTACTTCCTCAGTCTGCGGGCATAACTGTCAAATGAAAACTTTGATTTCTCATTTTGGTGCTTCAGTCATGACTAATACGTAATAAAAATCACCGTCGGAGTAAATGTCGTTAGGTCTAGTCCTTTCAACGATGACACTGGTTTCCGCCAAGGCTGTGTTTTGTCCCCTCCTGTTTGTGTTGTACATGGGAAGAATACTCAGGCGCAGTGAGGGCGACGAGTGTATCTGTGTTGGAGATGTCGGGATGAAAACGCTGCTGTTTCCAAAGACCTTGTTTTATTGGCATCTACTGAAACTGATCTACAGCGCTCTGTGGAAAGGTTCCAAGCTGAGTGCGATGTGACCTGCGTGCGTGTGAACACAACCAAACTGAAAAGCCTAGTGATCTTTCTACTGTCTTTTTCTTTATGCAGATAACCAGAGAAGCAGTAGAGTAGGTGGATAAACTCACATGCCTAAGGGTGATAGAAAATGGGGGTATTAGAGCTACCGGCGAATTAAAGCAGCTAGTGACATTCTGCACTGGTTAGCCTGAATGGTTGTGACTGAAGCAAAGCTGAGTCTGAGGACTAAGTTGTCCGTGCTTTAGTG